GGCTGGTGGGGAGGGGTAAATAACCCGCACAACTGCAGCAGGCAGAGTGAGAGTGGGAGAGGAATGACTCTGCAGACACCAAGGTCAGTGAAGGAGGGGGAGGAGGTGCTCCAGGTGCCAGAGCAGAGATTCCCCTGCAGCCCCTGGTGAAGACCATGGTGAGGCAGGCTGTGCCCCTGCACCCATGAAGGTTAACAGTGGAACAGATATCCACCTTCAGCCCTGGGAGGGCCCCATGCTGGAGCAGGTGGATGCACCCAAAGGAGGCTGTGACCCCATGGGAAGGCTCCTGGCAGGACCTGTGGACCCATGGAGGGAAGAGCCCTTGCTGGAGCAGGTTTGCTGGCAGGACTTGTGACCCCGTGGGGAACCCACGCTGGAGCCGTCTGCTCCTGAAGGACCCACCCACACTGGAGCAGTTCATGAAGAACTGCAGCCTGTGGGAAGGACTCACGTTGGAGAAGTTCGTGGAGGACTGTCTCCTGTGGGAGGGACCCCACGCTGGAGCAGGGGCAGAGTGTGAAAAGTCATCCCGTGTGAAGAGTCCTCCCCTCAGGAGGAAGGAGCAGCAGAGACAATGTGTGATGAACTGACCGCAACCCCCATTCCCCATCCCCCTGCGCTGCTTGGGGAGAGGAGGTAGAGAAAATCAGGAATGAAGTTGAGCCTGGGAAGAAGGGAGGGGTGGGGGGGAAGGTGTTTTAAGATTTAGTTTTTATTTCTCATTATCCTGCTCTGATTTGACTGGTATTAAATTAAACTGATTTCCCCAAGTCGAGTCCGTTTTGCCCGTGACAGTAATTGCTGAGTGATCTCTCCCTGTCCTTATCTCAACCCACGAGCTTTTTGTTTTATTTTTTCTCTCCCCTGTCCAGTTGAGAAGGGGAGTGATAGAGCAGCTTTGGTGGGTACCTGGCATCCAGCCAGGGTCAACCCACCACACCTTCTCTTCTTACTACTGAACAGACACAGTTCTATTCTCAGACATTAAGTACTGAGGAAGCCCGAGTACTGCATCGATTTAATCCATGAAGACTGCAAGCAATCAACTGTTAGCCCACATGCCTGACAAGACGCAGAGGAGGTCTAAGAAAGGCACTGGACTACAAAATTTACTCTGCAGTCAGTAAGAGGACATGAAGTACTGCAGTATTTAGAAAGCAAATTAAGAGACAACATATTGAGATGATTGAAACACTTGTATTTTATCAAGATGTGGTGCTCCACTACAGTACTGGTAAATGTGGTTACTGTTGAAAGGGCAATTACTTATCAGTGACCTAAGGAATGGCTACTTGCGGACACTTAAAGGAAAATTAAGGAAATCTGAATTTACAGAGAAGCAGGTAATTCCTAAAATTTTAGTTCCGGGAACCAAAGATGACCACTGGATGACAAGCATGCACAGTATTGCTGATGTCATCAATTTCACCAAGCGGGTTTGGAGACACCAAAGAGTAAAAGCAAAGAGCAGGATGCAGAGTAGTCATTCTAATTACAACAAAGAATCATACAGGGCAAACTGTTTCTATACAGATAGGCACATCCATCACTTCTACTGAGACGGGACTAGAGAACAAGTGTGCAAATTTCTATTTCTGGAAATGCAGAACACCATTGCCCACAATTCTTGAAGGATAAACTGTTTTCAAAACCCATTTCTGGAACACCTCACTCCCTCTGCTTTTCACTGGAAAGACAAAACTCTATTTTTAGCTTTCATCATCTGATTGCTACAGAACAAGGCACACACTGTTACAAATGACTATGACAAACATTCTTCTGAGAGGTGATAGCAGAGATGGGAGCCACAGAAAGAATCTAGTTAAATCATTTCGGCCACCTACAGAAGAGCATTTATACAGAAAAAGTATTTTCATTGCAATGAACACAGATATCTTACCTCCTGTCCCGTTGCCACATCAATAGCTGTGAAAACTGTACCTGAAGCCCTGTGAAGAAAAAGAAAAACGTTACAGCCAGTTGCATCTCTCTGTGTAACAAACATGCACGTGAACAGACAAATCACAAACACAAAATTTTGTCACCTTTGAATGTTGCAAGAGCTTTATCCAAAAGAGGGCTATTAAAAGTTAGCGGTATCATAGAAATGCCAGTCAGTTCACACAAAACAAACTAATTACAAATACGCTCTCCTCCGACACCAGCTATGCCTCCTGCATTCAGGATGTCCAAGGCCCCAGAGCTTGTGCTGCTTCCTATGATCAGATAAGCTGGGATGCCCTTTCTGTAGTAAGTATTTTCATTTTCTCCCAGGGGAAGCCCACCCACAAACGCACACAGACCTATTTGGAAAGTATACAGTAGGAGTTAGGCATTATACAATCAAAGCTGGAAAAGATAGAACTTGTATATACTTTTTTCTCAGAAGGATTCAGAGGACCACTAGAAGAATAAATTAGTCAAGGCCGTATTGTTAACTTAGCACACAGAAAGCCTTCTGACATGACCTCACACTATTCAGCAGTCACATTACAAAACAGATGAACGCATCTTACTGGGAGAGGAGAGGACTAGATATACCCAGAGAGAAGTTACAGAGCTACACTTTTGCATTAACAGACAAAATTCTAAATTTCCACCACTGTGTAAAGCCTTCACCATCTGTTTATCACTGCTTAACACAGCCAACATTTCTGCCTGCTTCAGTAAGTGGTGCCTATGCGATAGCATCAGATAGAGAACAGTACACTGCTTTTAACACTGGCTCACTAGGAATAAAAGTTGGGTTGAACACTTACCCCTGCCCGATTTTTTCATATCTGGTGTATTTTTTCTTGGGATCTCCTATGCTCACAATAGTGCCTAAAAAAAACCCCAGAAAAACGTCAGTCCTGCTGTCTCCATTTAGTAGGGCTGCCCTGGCCAAGATACCTCCAAGAGTGGGACAGCTCAAGTAGTAAAGGCTGATGCATGAACAGCCAAAACTTCCTGATTCAGTTCCAGTCACAAATGGCCCAACTTCAGACATTATGCTAGGTTATACTCTTAACAAGACAGATCATGCTATTTCCCCTAGTATCTCAATTAAATGGTAGTCTTCTGTGTAGCAAAACCCAGTATGAGGCTAGGACAAATCCATTAGCTTAGCCTAGTCCAGAAACTAGTCAGTCCTCAACTTAAGCACAGGAACATTAATATGGTAAAAAAATTATCATCAAGATGATTATGGAACAAGCAACAGTAGAAACTATTTTCTTTTATTATGGTTGTATTATACACGCAGATCATATTATCATAACTGAACTTCAATCCAAAAAACCATGTTCTACAATTTTTTTTTTTTTTTTACCCAAGAGGGTTCTGAAGCATATAAATTGGCAAAACTTCTGAATGCAGCTCTCAGCTACTGTCTGACACAAAACCAAGCAAGCACAGTATTCACATAACCCTTACACAAAAATAAGGATGAGGGCAAAAACTTAATATTCCTCCCCCAGTCCTAAAGCCTTTGTTTATCTGAAATAAAAAACACCTACGTAGTTTTTCCATGATCTCTTCATCCGACATTTTGGTCTTCTTTTTCTGCTTGTCACCTGATTTTGTCGCACTGTCAACAGAAGTGTCACTGGCTGGCACAGGGATGGGGTCAATTACAGACCGTGTATAAATCTGTTAAGAGAGAGACCATTTACCTGAGCATTTTCTTTGCAGTCATTGACCTTCCACTGAAAACAATCACAGTTCTTCAAAGGTCCCTAAGCACCATTTTACATAACAGGTTGGAAGCAGAAATTAGACCTGAGAAACACTGAAGTCCAGTAAGTCAAGATGCTGGCAACCTTACTGACCTCTAAAAGAAAGACCCAGGCACCATCCACAGAGTGGATGCTAGGAGATTAACTCTAACTTCCAGAGACATTTTGTGGATTTTCTACCTGCTTATTCTTTATAACCCATGCTAGTTAACAGAGATCACTATTTAATAGCAAGATCAACTACTACTAAGATCTAAAGCAAAAAGATTAATCTTTCACCATGAAAAGAAGCATGAGACACTTGAACTTCCAGGTCGTCCCCCAATTTAGGGGATTCTCTTGGAACTCTATTTAATTTCCTCCTGAGCTATTCACAGACATACGCAGCTACTCTAGAAACATCAAACTGTAGACCTGTCACATTTTGTATGTCTACATAGCCAGAGTGGGAAATTATAAAGCAGTATCACTTGACAAATAAACACAATTCAATTCACATTTGCATTCCTAGAGGGAGAATAAGTGGGCAACAGAGCGGCAAAATATACACCTACCACAGTCAAAAGAATGAGCTGGAGTAAGTGGGATCCCTGGGACATTATTAACAAGGTGTATAGTTCAGGACAACTACAGTAAAACTTAATGAACTTCTTAAGCATTTAACTTTTTGTGTAATGCTGATGAGAGTGAAATAAGCTTTCAAATCTTAGATTTGAATTGTTTTGGGTTTAGGTAGTGTATTTGGTGAGGCTATCACACTGCAATCAAATAACACAAAGAAAATCAAACACACTACAGTGGTACAAGTGTAGTGTGCAAAGTAAGAGAAACTAGCTATAGTTTTTTAGGACTAAAAAGCCTCCTCCTCACATACTGGGTTAAAGGATAAGCATAACTGGATAACTTCAACACAAGCCAACAAACAAATCAGCATTAACTTCAGGATTTCTGATCCTACTAATACCCAGAAATTAGGCATTTTCTTAGCAAACTCTAAAAACCAGAACTTTTCCCTAAAAACTTACAACAGCTCATTTCAAAAAATAATACTTTGCTAGAAAACAGAAGTAGAAAAAGTTCTGCAATACTGAGAAATGCAGGTCTGCACTGTAAATTTTACAGCCGCTCACCGATTTTGTGTGATCTGGCCGTGGAGCAATAACAGGAGGAGGAGCTTCTTCATCATCCTCATCATCATCTGCCACAGCTGTTGATGGTTCTGAACCTTTGGCATTGGTCTACATTTTTACCAAAGTTTAAAAAAAAAAAAAAAAAAGAAGAAACAAAATTGTCTCCCCCACATGAAGATAGAATTCTTAACTGATGTCAAAAGAAAAGGATAGGTTGAGTGGTTTAAGTGCCCTGTTACATTTTATTACGAGACTCAAATACTATTGCTCCAGTGAAATATGCTTTGTTGACCCCCCAATTTATGTTTTATTCCACAAAAAAAAGCCTCATTTTGTTTTATACTGTAAGATTCAGTATATAACAAATACAGACCTGAACTTGCATGCACCTAAGAAGATACAAAGAATAGTAAACACACTCACCGTTGGTGTTCCTGAAGGGAAACCATCTTTTTCTAAACAGAACAAATAGCAGAATACATAAAATCATCAGAAAAATAGTAAAAAGTGAACTTTACAGAGTAAAGAACACAAACTGCTTTGGGATTTTTTTCATCTCAGAAAGCAAAATTTCATAGTCACAGATGACAGAAAACAGTATTGCAATGTAAGACCACACAGAAGGAAGCTGTAAAGTTTCTAAAATCCTCCCCTAAGGGTAGGCAAACCCACTTGCTTCCCAACTTGCTCTTCACCTCACCTGAGTACCCACACAGTTTTCCAAATTGAGCACTGCTCACCACACTTATGTGTTCTGTCTTACTGAGATATGAAATCAGTATCAAATGGGTATTTCTGTTCCCTTAGCAGTACCTTGAATCAAGGATGAGAATATTACAAAGCCTTATTACTACGCCATTTTCAGAAATAATTTGGAGGAAAACTAGATAAAACTGCATCTGTTTGTAGGATAGTTATTCTCTCAGCCTCCCCCATAGCTCCTGAGCTAGGAGCCACAACTTATTTTGCATCTTTGATGTCACCATCTGGTGACATCAAGTTCACAGATAGCTGTTTCACCACAGACAGGAGGAGCAAGGTCTCCAGCACGAAAACCAATTAATCACAGTCTCAGAGCCCTAGCTTCATAAACACAGGCCATTAAATTTTGGCTGCTATTTTGAATTATCCAGTTCCATTTCTTCCCCTCTCCATTTAAAACAGGAAATTAACTGGACAACACCAGTTTCCAGTAAGTTCTAAATCCATCTTCAAATATTTGTGCCTCATTGAAAAGGAGCTTGCTCTTGCAGCATTTGAATCTGATTTATTATTCTGAAAGAGACGAAGACTGTATTCCAAATACCCAACTCCTCTTCAGTGTCTTGCACACACTTGGATCTCACCTGGAGCAGAAAAACTCAGATATTTCTGCTTTGCTGTGTCTTTGGAGTCGTAGAATTTTAGCACATCTAGTACCGCCTGGGGGTTTTTCTTCTGTTCTAGCTTTGTGATATTTGAGGTCTGAAGCAACCGAGCCCATTGCTCTGGCATTCCCTGAAAAAATAGGCTATTTTAAGCATCCTTCTAGTATTTTAAAGGTTTTTAAAAAGCAGAACAAATTGTTTTCCTCTATAAAAAGCAGAACACACACAGCCTTAAACACATGAAGCAGTAGGGTGGGGTTTTAATGGGCAGCCATATGTCCACAGGTGACACAACACAAGTCACTGTGCCAGCATGACACCACCTCTTTCAGGTGTACTAAGCCAGATGTGAGGAATGGGAATACAAAAGCGCTCAACAGAACCAGTGTTACCCACTAACGAAAGTAAACTGAAGAGGGTTTCTCAGGGAAGGCTCTCCCAGGTGACACAAAGCATAAGATCTGACATTTACACTGCAGAAGTACTAACAGGTCACAGTCTCATTACTCCACATGTTGTACAAATACACAGTAAAATTATTTCTTTGATAAAAATGAAAATTAACTCACACTTTATTCTGAAACATCGCAATGGCTTCACTATAGCACTGACCCACATCTGTTTTCTGAGGAACTCTAAGGCAGGTATACTTACAGTGAACTCTCCAGTAACAGCATCAAAGCCAACATGGATGGTATGCTCAAAATCTGATGGTGGAGAGATTTCTGGCCTTTCCTTTTCCTTCTTCTTGCTTCCTGAAAAAGATATTCAGAGATCTACTGAGCAAAGATTTAAAGTCCTGTTGTCTCCATTTTATATAATCAATCCAAGCATTACAACAGTTAGGATGAATGTAACCATTATTCTGTTTACTAGATGGAGGTGTTTACATATGCAGCACAGTGATTTGATATTTTCAAGTTGGTACAGACTTCATGTAAGAATTAACAACTTGTTCCATTCAAATCATTTATACCATAGTAGCAAGCAAATAACAGATTAACAGCACCAGAGTGCAAGGAGCTCTGTTGAGCATATGAAATCTAAACATATGAAATGTTTACTATGCAAAAAAGGACATTTTAATATGGATCAAGAACAACACTGAAAACAACTTCAGTTCAACCTCAAGTGCACCCTAAAGACAGTTAAAACTCAGTTGCCTCACTGCTTCAATTCAAGGTAATTAATGCAAACTAGGACATCCTGTGATGAAGATAAGAGTTTACAGCCTCAGAGCAACTACCTAATTTAAATTAAAAGGGGCAGGGGGGAAGCAGCAAGCATAGCAAGTACCAGAAGCAGGAACAGATAATGAGAAGGATCATGTGCACAATCCAACCTAGATTCAATTAAATTTATAAGATGTTTTATAATGCCTGGGGCTTGGGTTTTTGGGGGTTTCCTTATTTTTTCTGACAAAGAGAAAATAAAAATGGAAGACAATTTGTAGTTAACTCTAAATATAAAATACACCGCTCTATTCCCTTTACTCAGAAAAGGTTCGGAGTTAAGTTGGAAGGTTTCAAGAACCTGTTTTCTTGTTCTTGCAAAAAAGACCAAGCCCTGCTTTCTTTCCCTGCCAGAGCTGAGGAGTGTACTTGCTGTTTGCTCTCCAGGTAAGATGATACTCAAGGCCTCATCTCATGGCACTCTGCTGAAAGGCAGAGGCCTGGCAGTGAGCTGTAGAGCATGCCTAACCTGATACCAAGAAAACTGCATGTGTAATCCTGTGAACACCTGTGGGCTCACAGAGCATATAGCTGAATCGGCTGCATTTATTATAGCGTGCCTGAAGCCAGCAAGAATGCCATAGTGCTCACAACCACAAAGGAAAGCAGCACACTATTTTGCAATCTAACTTGATTACCATTTTACATTTGTATGTTTAAAAAAAAAAATAATATTTTTTTGTTTTGCTTTTAAATTCACCTTAAAAATAAAAGTCATATAGTTTTAGTACAGAAAAAGAGCAGCTAAATCAGCACCCTCTTCGTTACTACATGGTAGAAAGTTACCGAACATGGGGCGAGCATAAATCACGCTGCTCAGAGCCAGAGAATCTGTCTGAAATCCCCTCACACTGGCGGGAGAGGAAGGATGGGGAGTTGAGAACAATACTTAAAAACGAAAAGCCATGTGGGCTGCCTCCAGCTGAACAATGCAGTGGAAAGACACATCTATTATAAACAGGATATCTTTAATATGGCTGCACAGGTCAGAGCCAAAAAGCAAATGGACTGTCAAATGTTCTCATTAACATCATTCAGTCACAGGACAGGAGAAACTTGCTTATGTGAAAACCTTTAAGGAAAGTACTGTTTCTTCCCAGTCTCTTGCAGTTGTTTACGTGAAAGCAAGGGCAGGGGGGAGTTATATTCCTCAGGAAAGCTCCTGCTCAGGAGCACTTGACATCTAGGGAACAGGAGCTGGTACTCAAACCCTCCAGCACGCGCTGCGCAAATAAACTCACTCCTGCCAAAAATACACACATCTTATTAGTATAGTAGGCTAGGCAAGGAGACTAAAAATCACTGCTCTGCCCACAGGAACAGCAGATCAGAGCAGCACTTCAAACACACACAAGCAGCGAGTTTCACTCAAGAGGCAAGTACTATGAGTCACGTGTTGGCAGGACGTACTCGAGGCTCTGTGAAAAAGGCCACTGTGAGGCCACGCTGCTTTTCAACCTCTGTGTTTGTAACATAGTTCTGTATTTAAATAGAAATCCCTTTAATAAAGGGCAACACTTGTTTCAAACTGTGAGTGAATCTACGACATGGTCCTTTGGCCCTGCAGAGACAGGCATACAGCCCCCCTGCTCCCAGGAGGGGGATGACACAGGTCCTTCAGAACAATTCAGAGAATTGGAGAATTGCTCTAATTAAGAAAGTGCCTCAAATAGCGAATGAAACCACAGGCGTTCAGC